GGAAAGATAGATGGGCGGATAGAAGTGACAAGAAGACGAGGAAGAAGACGTAAGAAGATGCTGGATGACCTTGGGGACAGAAGAGGATACTGTCATTTGAAGGAGAAAGCTCTAGATCGCATGAAGTGGAGGAATTGTTTTGAAAGAGACTGTGGACCTGTCGTCTTGACAGATTACTGATGATGATGATGATTATGGCAATTAGTGTAATGCGAGATATTTTCCCCATTGGATGATGTTACCAGAATTCTTCTTTATGCTAAGAATTAAATTAATTCCAATTAAAGAAGGGGAAAAACTTCTTGCCCCCTGAAGTCCATTCTAGTACGTCCTTGTTGTGGGGGGCGGGCAACGGGAAGTAAGGGACTGCCTATGTGATGCAACATAATATTAAACCAAGACACTCTGTACAATACTAATAAGTGTATAATTGGACTCCTAAATTGATACACTAGTCATCAACCACATCAACACATACATTGTATTTATTTTTAACATAAATAATAAAATAATAATAATATAGGTGTACATACATACATATCATTTATTTTCCATAAATATCCATACAGGCAGCAGACCCAGGATGTGGAAATAGTCATATCAAATACATACACAAAGTCACATAATGAAGATCACCCACATTAACTAATTAACACATACATGAATAGGAGATAGAAACATAATACATGTATCTTGATTAACAGACATAATTTAAAAGTAACTACAACACAACTTGAATTAATATAACTCTTCACATCTCCTATACTAACTATATTAAAATACGGCGTTAAAACATTCAAATTTGTGTACATTTGTAATTAAAATACTCATTTAATGCATAAAAAGAGTTAGCATGTAAAAATCTTTTTAGGGAATGTTCAAAGGATTTCTGGTTATTGGATAACTGTTTGAGCTCTTTAGGCCGATGATTGTAGATTTTTATACCCGAATAATACACCCTTCTGAACTTAGTAAGTGAAGCACTCGATGGAAATAGGTTAACATTCTGTCTGGTACCAATATTATGTACCTCTGTATTTCTTGCAAACAGATGTATGTTATTTATAGTATGTTGCATCAAGGAATATATGTATTGAGAACACAAAGGCAGAATTTTCATTTCCTTGAAACAGTCTCTATATGAATCTCTTTTCTTTAATCCCATCATAATCTTTATACCGCTCTTTTGGATCATAAAATTTTTGTCATGTATGAAGAAACTGGGGAGTGGCCCAAGGACTTTACAGAAGTGACAATGATTGTTTTAAAGAAAAAGGCAAAAGCTACAAGATGCAGTGACCATCGCACAATAAGCCTTATTGCACATACAGCAAAGATAATAGCAAAGATACTTAAAAGAAGATGAAAGGAAAATAGAGGATATACTTGGAGAGGATCAGTTTGGATTTTGAAGAGGAAAAGGAACCAGGGATGCAATTGGGATGATGAGAATTATTGCAGAACGAACTTTGGAGATAGATGAAGAACTGTGTGCTTGCTTTATAGACTGGCAGAAGGCATTTGATCATGTAACTTGGACCAAATTAATGCAGATCCTAAAGGAAATAGGTATTGATTGGCGTGAAAGAAGATTGATTAGTAAATTGTACATGGATCAGAAAGTTAGAGTGGGACTCGACAGAGGGGAGACAAGAAGTGTGAAGACTGGAAGAGGAGTTCAACAAGGATGCTGTTTATCACCAATTTTGTTCAACTTGTACAGCGAATGCCTTATCAAAGAAGCTCTGGACGGGCTTGGAGACTTCAAATTCTGAAATATGCAGATGACCNGAGACAGATGAATGATGAATGAATGAAGAATTGCCGCAGAAGATAATTCCATATGTCATCACAGTATGTATATAAGGAAAATATATCATTCTTAAGCTACTTAATGATATCATAGACTTAACTGTTCACATAATAAAGCAAGACGAACTCAATTTAGTAACAAGGTAATCAATACGATTCTTCCAACACAGCCTATCATCAATATTTAGGCCTAAAAATTTGATACACTCTAAGTTAGTCAGTAAATTTTGATCAATATTATTATGCATATTATGATCCTCATAGTTCACTGAAGTGAACTGGAGAGTGTGGGTTTTATGAATATTTAATTTTAACAGATTGGTTCTGAACCATGTATTAATATTGCTAAATATTCTGGTCATGGTTGATTTGTAGTCAGCGTATTCCGGATTAGTCACTATTGTACTTGTATCGTCTGCATATAAGAATATGTTTGTTCCATTAATTTAAACCTTAGTTATTTATATACAAGAGGAAAATAAGTGGGCCAAGAATTGAACCTTGGGGTACACCAAATTTTACTTCTGCCCAACTAGATAAGCTATTAATAGAACTGTTAGGGCCAAGGGTTACTCTTTGATATCTTCCATTCAGGTAAGATTTAATTAAGGCACCAAACTTGCCAGTTATTCCATAAAACCCTAATATTTTGATAAGTCTATCATGACTGACAAAATCAAAGGCTTTGTGTAAGTCGCAAAATATTCCTCCAACAAACTGTTTATTATTCATTGCTTTTAGTATTTCCTCTACTAATCTGAAGGATGCTTTTTCTGTAGATGAATTAGGTCTGCAACCATACTGATTATTTTCCAAAATATGATTACTGTCTATATGTTCACACAGTTTATTATATATAACCCTTTAAAAACCTTAGAAAAGGCTGACAATAATGAAATAGGCCTATAGTTGGCTGGTTCATGGTTATTCCCGCTTTTGAAAACTGGCTTAACCACAGCAAATTTCAGTCTGTCTGGAAACGTTCCCTGGGCAAGGGATCGATTACAAATGTAAGTTAGTGGCAAAGTTACATATGGCATACTTGCTTTTAAAATTCTACTGGAAATTTCATCATAACCATGTGAAGACTTGGTCTTCAACCATTTGATTATCTTTCTAATCTCAGTATCTGAGACATAATGCCATTTGATAGATTTAAAAGTAGACGTGTATTTATTGCCCAGATAATATAATGGATTGATATCAGTTGTTATTGCTTAAATCATCTATGATTGCCTGTGCTACTGAGCTAAAGTATTTGTTAAATAATTTGCAATGCACTTTTTATTCTGTATCATAATATTACTGACTTTCAACAATTGGGGTTCATCCTTCTCAGTTTTAGATCCAGTCTCTTTTTTAATAATTGACCATGTAGTTTTTATTTTATTATACGATTTTGAAATTTTATTATCTTATAGTGTACTTTCTTAGCCTCTTTAATAACTTTAGTAAGTACTTTACAGTATACCTTATAATACAGTTTAAAATGTGGATAATCATCTTGTCTATATTTAAGATATAACTTCCTATTTTTTTCACAAGAAATTCGTATCCCTTGAGTCATCCAAGGGTTGCATTTAAGTTTGGAGGTAATAATTTTTTTAGTAAAACATGAATAAAAAATTCATGAGTAAGTATTAAGAAATACATTAAAAGTATTGTTTACATTGTCATTTGTAAAAACATCACCCCATAGATCATAGTTTAGCATTTCTTGAAATTTAGTTATATTGTAATTACTATAATTTCTCATATACTGAGTATTACCTACTTGTTCAGATGACATTATGTTACCAATTATTACTATCAGAGCATCATGATCTGATAGTCTGTTAATTATTGGTTTAATTGTATAATTTCTAGTCTTTTTTATATATATATTGTCAATAGCTGTTCTTGATACTTTAACAATTTGTGTTGGAAAATTAACCATACCTATTAGATTGTATGTATTTAAAAGTGCATCAAGTTGTTGCCTTCTATCACATTTTCTAAATAATTTATATTTACATCACCACATATAACATATTCAACTTTATTGTTACGTAGCTTATTCAAGATGGTATCAAATTTTTGCAAAACATTCTTGAAGTTTCCAATAAATAAATATAAATAGCTAATATGATCAACATGATCTTACAACATGATACTAGTCAGGCTTAATTTGATTGCACAGGCTTCGATATCCTTTTCCACACAATAGTCAGACAAAGATACATAATTAAATTTAATTGAGTTATAAGTATATATGCATGCACCCCCATTTTTGTATGTTGATCTACAATAATTGGCCCCTAATACATAATTATGTACACATATTTGATTTATTTTACATTCTTTTAAATGGTGTTCAGTCAAACATATTATATGAGGCAGATCAAATAATAAGGAATTTAACAGTTGTTCAGTTTTATCAAATAATCCTCCTATATTCTGATGACATATCTTCAGAAAATGAGATGTAGATTGATTAGTTTTCCCTTGATTTAAGTTGGTAGTATCAGAGTTAGCAACCTGTCCATTATGATTTTTGCCACAATTTTTATCTTCACTTTTAGGGAACTTGTGAGCTAAAGCCGGATACTTATTTACATATATATTTGGTTCATACCTTAACCCTCCCATAAGAAATATTTATAAAAAAACATATTTATTTGAAAAGAAAAAATTAATCAAGGAGTGTATATAAAACTTATTATTGTAACATATGGATCCATATTAATTCATTAACATATCCAAAAACTTATCACCATTGATTCATGTATGTTTGAAGATGACCTAAAGGAAGGTCAAAAACTGTAGCATTAACAGCTGCACAAATACCATAATAATTAGTTTGTTGTGGTTTCAGTAATTTGTTGTGCTCACTGTCCCATTTATATATTTTTCTTAACCATATATATAATATAATCACAGATAATGTCAAAGGTTCTGTGGATTAAACACTGAAACACTTGAATTTATGAATAAAATCAATATACTAATATAATATCATTTACATGTTATAATTGTATAACTGTTCAAAAATATATTTAACTTCATCAGAATAAAAAGTGAATGTTTATACAAGTAAATAACGATAAATCTACTGAGTATATAGTTTCATACATCTTTCATTAAGGATACACTGACTAGAATTTCAGCTGGCTGCAATGCAAATTTATAAATATTCTAGAATAAATAAACTAACCTTTAACAAGCAGATCACCTACTACATAACCACTTCTTAACATATTTGTTGGATCCAGAATTGTTCTAGTTTCACACCATTGTCGGAAGCCAGGATACATTTGCCCAATAAGAGGAGAGGCATACACCGGACCAGCAGACCAACACTTCCGACCTCCATTCTTTTGCAGCAGAGCCTCAAATTCAGCCATAGTTGCAGAGTAGCTGCTTGTGATGCTCCTACTATTGAACCAATCTGTCCATAGGGTGCAAGTTTTCCTTTCAGTGTAGGGAGAGAGATAAGGGTGATGTGATGGAGCTTGGTGTGTCTGTACTGCAATTAGTATTGGAGTGGAGCAAAGGTAAAAGCGATGCTTAGACCAAATTCCAATATCCTCTATCACACTTTGCAATTTATCTGCAGGAAGAGACCACTTGATTCCCTTACAATATGATGCCACTGAAATCAATAACTGAGGCCGGAAAGTGTGCTGCATTCGACATGAAGAAGCCTTCATAACAAGACTAAACTGCGCCTTAGAGAGTTTCTTGCTGAATGATGGGGCATACCATGCCAAGTATGGACTAGCTCTATTCACTACCCAATGAATACTCCAGTAAAATACTTCCATACACTTCTTCCACCATGGCTGCAAATGCCCTAGACGTAACCTTACAGAGCTTGCTCGTTTAATGATCACTTTATCCAAAAGAGGATACCAATACATATAACTATATAGACCATTCAACAGCTGTTGCCAGTTGTTTACCATTTCATTCAGAGGACACTCAAATACGGTCTCCTGTGCCAAATGGATGGGAATACATTTGAAGGTTGCAGTACTGACAATGCCAAATACCCCAAGTCCACACACTACAGTCTGCAATGTTGGTAAAAAATGCCGTTCAGTTGGAATATTGACAGACCTATTGGAAACCTCTTCTGGAGTTGGCCATACCCAGTCAATCAATGCACCATCAGCATGAATGACCTGACAACTTTTCAAACAGTGCGCAATAGTTCCATTTGAGCCCATCAGTCCAACAGACACTGCATCAGCAACTGTCATGTCTGGAATAATGCCATACAATTCTAATGTGTAGTTTAGGTACTCCATGCTTTGCAGCACCTCGGATATAGTCAAACCACCTTCAAAAGTGAATGTCTGTTCTTCAGGATCATAAAAAATAAACCTTCTCATATTATCTAACTTGATGACGATATCCACTCCCTCTTTGCTAACAGGAAAGGAGCCACCATAATATTTTATTGTTAATCCATTCTCTCGTGCTTCACAAATTATTTTCTGGATATCTTCTGCATCGTAAGGATGAAATATTTGCATTCGATGAGACGAAACTTCTGTAGTTGACATTTTACATTTCTCTTTCAAAATGTGTCAGAACTTACGAGGACCGCTACATTTCTTTAAGTTCTGAACCAAGTACTCTTGTCTAGTAGTCTACCCTTTTAAACCTTATTTCGTTCCTATCACAGGAAATATCATACTTCATGTATCTAATACTGCCTCATTCGGAGAAACCCAACTCACACAGGTAAAATTACAACAGTCCATGTTTCGGCCTACAATCTTGGTTTCGTTGTTTATATAAATACACGTCACACAGAATTTCGGATCCGCCAAACGCACTAATCCCACCGACATTCGCATCCAAAACACGCTTCTCGATCGTTCGTCTCTGACACAAGTCCGTGGTCAGCTTCTATCGGCTTCTATAGTTCTGTAGGGCAGACAAGCAATTTGTATTCCGTGGTGATAAGTAAGCTGTTCGTAGCAGTTCGGGGGGAAAGGAGTGTTTGTTAGCGGGGAAGCGGATAGGTTTAGTAGGTAACGTGCGCAAGTTAGTTTAATTTATTTGTATTTGATATCCCACGACGCCCACGGCCGTGTGTAGTCATGAATGAGGAAGAAGAAAACTTATTGCCACTAGATCATGCCCCAGTGCTGTTTTTGGATGAAAAGGGCAATTCCTTGGTATTTGTTATAAAACCTTGTAAGGAGAAGGAAGCTCTGAGAGAAATGATTGAGGTGGGTTACTTTTGTTCGTGTGTCATTTATTTGTTAGCGTTAATGCAGCGATTGTGCGACCTGAGCCATATAGTAAAGTCTGTTGTTTCAAGTGAACGGCCCCTTTATGGTAGCGTAGTAAGTAGTCTCATTGAATTAGGTGTTGCAGGAGTAACCAAACGCGAATTAACCAGATTGCTCAGTAACTGGTACAAATAATATTTTGACATTGGTGAATCTTTTGTAATTATTTCAGCATGGTGGCGGTGAAGTTGTTTCAACCCCTGGTGCCCATGGGATTACATTGATCCCTCCTGAAGTTCACCTCATAAGCAATGATGAAGTGTATTCAACTGAGTACATTAAAGATTGTTGCACTAGGAACAAACTTCTGGATTTAAAACCGTACAGGTTTGAATTTTACTATAATGATAAAGTTTATGTGAATTGACATTTATATTCCGTTTATAAATTTACAATTTTTCCTGCCAGGATAAAGCAGAATTGTCACCAACCTTTATTTACTGCCTAATCTTAAGTTGCCCCTTCTTTGCTTTGACACAGAGCATATAGAAGGTAGGAGGTAAATCCAATTGTGGCAACAGCATCACTGCTAAGTAACTACTGCACTTATGATTCAATATTAAGTAACAGCAAATCTGTTTACAGTTTGTTCATTGAGATACAGTGTTCTGGGAAGCCATAATTAAACTCAAACAGGCAAAGGGATTTATACTAAGGACCTCTGAAGGATCTGTTGAAGCTAAACAGAGACCAATTAAGATGGGTGATAGGACTATTTACAGGACACTGTTGCCTTAAAAGGACACCTTTTTAAACTGGGATTGACGCATGATTCCTCTTGTTTAAGGTGCCTAGAAGAGGTTGAATCAGCCACACATCCTATGTGATTGTGAGGCCATAGCTTAGTTAAGATTTTGTTACCTGGGCCAGTATTTCAGGGAACTAAGTGATTATTGTGATGCCCCCATAAATAGAGTCCTACATTTCATCCAAAGTGTAGGATTAATAAAGGCTTAATTGAAGGGGAAGCACAATAAATCAGTGATGGTTGCAGTGCAGGGGCCAAATTATTATGGCCCACCCTTCCACATACATACGAGGGCGAGTCAAATGAAAACCTTAAATTTGTAATAAAAAACCTAAATTTCGCACCATTATCCTGTAAGTTGGTAAGCGTGCTACAAACGGTGTGCAGAATGGCCTGTAGGTGCAGCGTAGTGCAAATGCACGAACACCGTCACAGCACCAGTATAAGATGGCTGCCCCACTTGAGACTTGCACCAGGGAGGAACAGCGTTCTGTTATTCGGTTTTTGTGTAGTGAAGGTGTGAAACCTATTGAAATTAATCGAAGAATGAAGTTTCTGTATGGTGAGGCATGTTTGTCACAGCAGCAAGTGTATAAATGGAGTAGGAAGTTTGGAAATGGTGTGACTTCAGTGGAAGATGCTCCTCGTCCGGGTCAGGCACATCGAGTTGTGACTCCAGAGAACACTGCAGCAGTTGAAGCCATAGTGAGGGAAAACCGCCGAGTTACATTGAATGAAATTGCAGCAAGTTTAAACATTAGTCATGGTTCAGCACACCACATTGTGCATGATGTGCTCCAGTTTCAAAAAGTGTCTGCAAGATGGGTGCCACGGCAGCTGACTCCTGAATTGAAAGACTAACGTACTGATGCTTGTGAAGAACTTCTGCAACACTTTGAATGAAAAGGTGATGACTTCCTTGCAAGAATCGTTACTGGGGATGAAACCTGGGTTCACTTCCACCAACCGGAAACGAAGAGAGTGAGCAAGGAATGGTGCCATTCCTCATCTCCAAAAGCGAAGAAGTTTCGAACACAACCATCAGCAGGGAAGGTTATGCTGACTCTCTTTTGGGACAAAAAAGACATCTTGGAGCACTACATGCCTAGAGGGACCAGTGTCACCAGTGCATCATACTCAGATCTCCTAAAAAATCATCTTCAGCCTGCAATCAAATCAAAGCGACGTGGATTGCTGTCCACAGGTATCCTTTTGCAACATGATAATGCAAGGCCCCATACTGCCCATACAACAGTTGTGACAACCAATGACCTGCATTTTGAGTGTCTTCCTCATCCAGCATACTCACCAGACCTTGCCCCAAGTAATTTCCATATATTTGGACCACTCAGAGAAGCAATGGGAGGAAAGATGTTTCGTTCTGATGAAGAGGTACGCCACCCAGTGCATGAGTGGTTGTGCGTACTACCAAAAGAATTTTTTTTCTAAAGGAATTCATGCACTTTGTAAGCGCTGGAGGACTTGCATTGAGCATGGGGGAGATTATGTTGAAAGTGATACAGCTTTGTACCACTTGTGCACAATAAATAATACTCAAAAAAATATTTAAGGTTTTCATTTGACATTGTACATACATATGTACAATGTTAGTGGAACCCAAGTCGTATGTTATGAACATGTTTCAATCACAGTTACTTCTGGGTATACAGTGCATTGCCATTGATAGTAATGTTTATTATTTATTAATCCTCTAAATCAGCATACAATAACAGTAACTGTAACCTTTTTCAACTCTGTTTTTACAAAATTGTGGGTATATGCACTTCACAGCCATATGATTTAACAGTTTCTGTAGCTGGTATCTTGAGGAAGTTCACAATGGCAAACTAAGTTCATTTGTTTTATGTATGTTTGAATAGACACATGAAGGCAAATAATACTGTAGTACAACCCCCATCATATGTATAAAGTCCCATCGCATGGTTTATTTGTATGTAGAACATCAAGCTGCAGTGCACAGCATGCATCTAAAGCAGGGCTGAGTTAACTCAGTGAGAATGTTGACAGTTGGTGTTTGTTCCAGGCTGAATACAATGTCTCATTTTCCGGATAATTTTGATGTGATGGATGTTATGCTGAAGTACACGTCTTGGTCTGCTGCTCTGACAGGTCTCCCATAGTAAGGAAGTCATATTTGTATCTGTATCTGTATCTTTATTTTAATTCCATAGATCCTGACTGGCTGCCAAAGCCATCAGATATGGAACGTGTCACATATGTGTGCATTAGTTCTGAACACAGAACTAGTCACCTTACAACTGCATTCATAAAAGGAAGAATAATTATACATAGTTCAGTAATTTAACAAGCATATAGGACTCGTCAACTTGACAGTAGTACCATAGTGAGATCATAGTTTAAATATATAAACATATCAGATTATAATAATTTATACAATGTACTATATAAACAGCATTATAAGAGGTTAAATTCATCTTGTATTTAAAATATTCATCTAATGTATAAATTGTCTGAAATTACAAACAATTTTTCAAGGCTGATTTACATTGTTTTGTATTATGGGACAAATCCTTTATTGGAACAGGTAAACTGTTAAGAATAATATGTTCCCTTCTGATAAACTGACACATGAATCAGTGGATGATGCAAATCAGATTTGGTCCTAGTGTTAATATTATGTACCCCAAAATTTACTTTAAAATTATGTTTTTGTTTGCATTTATATAGGTTACAGTTAAATAAACATCTGTTGTCCATGATATTGTATGTACTGGCTGTCTTGTAGTGCACTCAATTTCACATGTCGCTCCACTACATGTTTTGGCAACATTGTGCCATCCTCACAACGCTCGCAGCCAAAAAGGAAGGACACATCACAAGACACAGTATACACAAAATATAGGAAAAGCGACTCCCATAGTGGAAGAACCATACAGTACACGAGCTTGAATTAAGACGCATAAGATGATAAATCTTAAGAAGTTTTAGTGTATACAAATTTTATTATAGTTGATGAAGAATGTACATTTTAAATAATTTTATGAACGACACATGATGGCAAGCAATGCAATAGCTTAGTGTAAATAATGCACCTGAGGATGGCACAATGTTTCCGAAACATTTAGTGGAGTGACATGTGAAATTGAGTGCACTACAAGACGGCCAGTACATACAATATCATGGACAATAATCAATGCAACAGGACGCTAAAATACAACATTATTAAACATCTGTTGGCTGTGTGATGTACTGTTGTAGTGATGGATGTATGCAGCCACCCAGCTGGCTCAGCTTTGCAGTAATATGCTTACATTTTAATGAATTTCTTAAAAAAACTTATATGACCAGAAATGGATCCAGTTTCATTACATATTCAGAAGTGTAGCGCATTATATTTATGGTTATATATTGTCACAAGTAAGAGTGTGCATGACTTATTAGACAGGTTTTGGATTGCATGATGGGATTTATTGACACATTATAGACTTGACTCGACTACAATTAATACAGCGCTATCTCTGATCTACGCACTACACCCATCACTAGGACATGCCAAGTCTTCTCAGTCTTTGCTAGTCTTATCCTGGCAACAGATGTATAACAGTCTCACTATCACTGCAAATCACACATGAAGTCTTCTTTGCACAGCCTAATTCATTTCTTGCCATCTCTTCTCAGTCATCTTGGAATGTCAGTTCTCTCGGTTTTATCTCCAGCTGGCCTATAATCCTCTTTATATAGTATCAGGGCAGACCTACAGGAAGCACTGTTCATTCTCATATTCACAGGAATGTGTTTGCATCATCCAGCAATCGGTTGTTTACCAGGAGTCTGTCTCCAGGGAATGAGTTTACCAAGCCGTTGCCTAACAGTGGGCGTCTACTCTGACTTCGCTATTCTTGCTTTCGGTTGTCATGTCACAATATGTACACACCTGAGGTTCGACAACCGTGACCGAAACATCTAGTGTTTGGTATAATAAACTGATTGATCTCATGATATTTTTCAATTCAATTGCTTATAATACAATAACAGAATCAACATGTTGTGTGATAGCATAAAAACCCCAGATCTGTGTAAACAGCAATGAAAAAACATAAAAATGTTACCCCATAGTTACAATCTGGATACAAACCTGTAATAATGGGAGATTTAAAATCCCCTATTTACATACAATAAACTCACTCCTGTGTTAACATCTGTTTACCAACTCTGTAATAATGGGATATGTAAAATCCCCTACTTCTAGATGATGAAATCTTGTGCTAGAGTTAAGCTGTGGCCACTAGCACTGTGGATGTTAAGCTCCTGTTCCTGGACAGCAGAAGTTCACTGCCTGGTACTAGCATATACCTGTATTGCTTTGATTGAGGTCACGTCTCATAACTTGTTCATGTAAGATCAATTTTAATATTCTTTCCCCATCTCATTTTCTCATGTACCATTGGTTTGTATGTATGTCTCTACTTACGTTATATGCCCTGCCAGTGTTATCTCATGGTTTTGACCATTCTAACAATCGTGGGTGCTATCTTGGGTAAAGGGTACAAACTGTGAAGTTCCGTGTTGTCTGTATATATCTGTTCTGTTTATAGCATATTATGCTTGCTATTTAGTTCTCAGACACTACTCCATGTTCTTCCCTCCACTGGCAAAACTGTTGTCATACTGCATACAATTTCATTTGTATGTGACTGTTTTTGGGATATCTGGTAAGACAGAAATAGCGGCATTAGAATCCAGATAAGAGTTAGAGATTTAAATTAAATCATTACGGAACAAAGAGAGAGAAATCAATTACGAAGGTTTATGATGGTAGTGTGTTATACTCTGGATTACCTATTTTCTGGACATTGTTCATTGTTTGTTACCCTGAAAGGAGACAGTATTTCAAAAACTGGTTTTGTTTCCATCCCTAGTCAAAAGGGTTTGGTAAACTGTTCATAGAGGCAGATCCCATGGTTGAGATTATCAAAAGAGACCCAAGAGTTGATGCCTTCCATCCTTTCAGCTGAGGATGGAAAGAGATCCTGCTTTAAAAATGTTGTGTTCTTTCAGAATACTAAGACAATGGACAAAGTCCAGAAACTCAGTCAGAGGAAGATTTTCTTTTCCCGGATTGCTGCCATCAGTACAGGGTCAACAGAACCCCAGCCACTCTCCCAGCTAAAACCTTAGCTCCTTATGAGGAGCCTTCTTTTTGGCTGCTTCTTCTGCTTGCCAGTTCAGTCTTGCTACTTGATGGTCAAGCTGTTTGTCCCCACTGAGAGAAAGCCTCACCCTCAATGTACCATCAGTAAAGCCCATGAGAGGTTTTGACTGCTGCAGGGAAATTTTAAACCCCATACAATCCTGCATGTGGTGGGAGGGGTTGCCTTGTTTGCATGGGGCACCTTTTCACCACATTGGTCCCTCAGTGCCATGTAGGCCTCACATGGCAGCTAACACCTTCCTTAGGACACCATCATCCTTGGCCAGCCAGCCAGCCAGCTGCTTATAGGACTGCCGTGTGAAGGCAGGTGTGGTGACTGGCTCATAGTTATCTCTTAGAAGTATGTGTGAGAAAGTACCATCACTATATTGTCATGTGTTAGTGATTAGACACAGGATTTTGAATGGTAATTGGATTTATTAAGTGCTTATAAGTTGTTACTACAAATACTTGTAACACTCTCACAATTCTACGTATTCTACAAATCACTATAGCTCACACTAAGTCTTCTCACTGTATTGTGTCTTGACCAGGCATTGCTTTGTGGTGGCTTCTAACAATGGAGATTCCTCTGCTCATGGCTAACTGCCAAGTACAAGTTCTGACTCAAAACTGACTGTCGACTCATGACTCGCTAGCGTCAGTTCGGGTAAATTGCTACTGGCCCTTTCCAGCACAGTCATTCTTGATTCTGGTGCGGGACTCATAGCCATATTTCTGTATCTCATGACTCTGATGGAGTCATGTAACTATCCCACTCACTAACTTCCAAGTCACATTGCGACTGATGGTCAGTGAGTCAGTAAGTCTTGGTGTCGAGCCCCATTTGGGGCTAATGACCTGATATTTATTACTGTTTGGCAATTACGGTCTTGTTTTTGTGGGGTGCCCTCTCTGACGAGAGGACGGGTCTGCCTTTTGTATATGCTGCTGGCCTTTGCCAGTGCAGTCTTTCTCAGGTCCGAGTCCCTTGGTAGGCTTGGGACTCGAGACCATAGTTTACTGTCTCTCCTTCCCAACTCACTAACTTCTCCCATTGGTCCTTGTTATATAGTTCAGCACAGACTGCATAGAAAACACCGCTTCCACCAGTTCTACCATTGTTGTGTGTGTATTTGTTGCTACGGAAACATGTTTATCAAACTGATGCCACGCACTGAACATTTCCCCTGGCTCCACTACTCCATCCCTCAGGCATCATGTTGGAATGTGATTAACAGGTCTTTTAACCGTTCCTTCACTCCTTACACCCATTTGTCGCTTGTTTTGTAGCTGTCTCATTCGCACTTACTAATTCTCTCAGGTTATTTTATTTATAAGGTGAGGTTTGTTTTTGTCAGTAGAGCTGAGGATTTCTTTTTCAAGGCCTATAGCGGGCCTCCAACTCAGAGGGGCAGGAATTAAGCTTAAAGCTACACATATCAAGCTTAACTGTTTATTAAATGTTTATGCCCTTTAACTTACTCAATTACTAATTTTACTTATAACTTTGCTTAATTTTTTAGTTTTTGTTTCTTTGAAGCACAACACTTTTGCTTCTAGCGTTACTACTTTAGAACTTACAACTTGGTTAGTAATGCTTATTAGTAAGACAACAAAATTTCAACTGACCGATACAAGTTTTGCTTCTGAATTCTTCAAGAGCTGGTGTGATTGACTTCGACAACTGGCTTCCCTCCAAACCGTGAGGTCCTTGGTCCATCAGCTTCTTGGCTCTGTAACACCCCTGAATTCTAGTGATTGGACGTTTTTGAAATTAGGGAGTTCACTTCATTTCCCTGATTTCCAGTCAGCTCACTGTGACTTTGGATTTTAGCCCTTAAAGACATAACGTAACTTTCGACAAGTCTTGGATGGATTCTCCACTTGGCTTCAGTCTCTGGCCCGCCTCCTTAAGAATTACAACTTGCAGAAGCTGTCAAGTATCGAATTCTCAAAGACTGCTGCATTTACACTTTTGAGCTAAAATTCTCAGAAATATCGACAGGGTTTCTTCCAGTTCTACTGCAAGTTTGAGAATAACCTAATTCTTACATGCAACAATAGGCCTATGTCTCAACTGACTTGTTCATAAGATCCCAATGTGAAACAATTAAATTACTAATTAATAAACTTAATTAAATTTAAGTGAGTGCATGGCAGTGGTGCGGTTACAGTCTTAACAGTTAATGGCATAAACATCACCTGAGTTAAGGTGGCTACTCCTTCAACTTTGAAGCAAGCATACAGCATGACAGAAGTACTGAAGTTCTTACAAGGAATAAGAGTGCCACAGCATCAAAGACCCTTTCAGGACTGCTTGCATGAATTCTTCTTTTTTTGTGAAATTATTGGACTTCAGAGGGTCCCTGCATCACACAGATACCAGTCTGTGAAATGGTTAAACCTATATACAATGCTGGTTATCTCCACTGAAGTGTCTGACCATAATGTTAATACAGGTTAATTCTTTTGGTGTAGAATTTATAATTAATTTTTGTATTTTGGTTGTTGCAGTGAAAAGAGCCTGTATCCATATATAACTAGTTCACCTTCAGACAGCAGCTGTTATAGTGATGATGAAGATTTTGAGCTAGCACATCCATCTGCCAGCAACTGTGATGTTCAGCCTCACGTCCAAAAGTAAGACCCAGTAAATCTCAGTTATATTCATCCAAAATTTTTTGTTGTTTTCTGAACCACAGATTCATAGCAATAAGGAAATGGTGTTCACTCTTGATTAACCTTTAACGTACAGACTTTTAAATTGCCGGGAGCCCTCTGCGGCCGGTATTTAAATCGCCCTAATTAGGCAACATTGCAAACTTTCAGAAAAAAAATACATATTTTCTGTTCTATACAACATAGAAATACAAACTAAAAACAGCCTGAATGACAATAAAATTTTCTACACGTACACAAAAAAGCAATTTTTAGAAACGAAAATTAACTGTGATTATTTTATCATGAAATGCAAAATATAATCTTTATTATGTATGTTATGAAATTCCAAAGGACTTACCCATTGTTTTTTCTTGAACTTTGAATCATGGTGATATTGTAAATATAATCACATTATATACAATAATATTTTGTTCAGACCGTACACGAGTTTGAACTGCGTCATGTCACAGTTTATGATACACTGACGTGCGAGGCACTTTTCGAAGCAGTCCACCTCGCACAGAGCAACAACATGCTTTGTACAATAGAAAAATTTGCTCCTGCTTTTCTTATTTAGCGAAACACACATCAACATCTTTGTTTCCCTTTTGTTGGCCAGTGTTGTGAATGTTTCACCTCCAGTTGACTCACAGGGGAATGGTCTGATCCGACATGTCAAAACCTGCCCTGATTTCTTTTTTTCACTGCTAGAGTACACACAACAAAATCCACTGTCAAAATTTTAGCTGCTAATACGCACTGCAAGTATTTTTTAAAAATTGCGGAACCTGGCCAATATTATAGCCTGCCAGACCCTTGGAGAAATGTCCACCCCTAGCAGAGCCAGAGCAGAGCAGAGCAGTATGCAACATATAACATGGCTGACTCACAGCCTAGGCTTTCGGTGCGTCGGTAGAGAGATAACACGGCACAAATCCATCATAATCTGACAAGTACACTTTAGTTTTTCTTTTGATAGTTACTCTGACAGAATTTGCAAGTGGTTTACTATCCAGATCCAACCATAGTTACTATTTTGTTTTGAGGTACCTGTTAACAGTGTTTATACAACCGTATCAATAAACATATAGGCCTACTAATAGTATTTGTATCTTTGCACAGCTTCTAGAGTTCTGCCCTCTATAGTAATGTGGAATGCTATTAACGTTCTTAATCTTGCAAAGATGAAGTATGAAGAATGTGATATGAAACCGAAATCATCGAATTCTCCTGAAGACATACATATATGTGATTTGCTGGTTAATTTCTTGGACATTCATTGTAATGATGTCAACATTTCGATAGAAACTGTGGAAACATTAGAAGAAATAGAAAATAACTCTGATGGTTCAGGAAGTTGTGATTCGAGTGAAGAAAGTTGTGCTGATAAGAGTACGCATCAAGAATACCTTCCTAGCCCAAAGAAACAAAAGACTGAAATAACTTTCAGTGACAAGGAAAAGGCTGTGAAATTTTGGTTAAATGAAGGAAGAAAAAAAATGCTTGAAGTTAAGCAGTGTGCAAAACCGATTCTGTTTTGTAAAATGAGAACGTGAATTGTACAAATGGAAGAAAGAAACATGCATCAGAATGAAACTCGAAAAAGTCTGAAAGAACGACTACTTGAAATATTTAGAACTGCACGTGAGAGTCAGTGTACTGTTACCAATGGAGATCTACGAGACTGGGCTCTTTGAATCACGAATGAGATGAACATTAGTGGTTTCCAGGCTTCTTTGACCTGATTAAGTAGATTTAAGAAATCATACAGAATTGGGAGTCAGAAGATTACCAAATTTATTTCAAGAAAACTTGTAGAGGAGATACCATTAATCACGAATGCTATAGAGAAATTTGTAGCTGACGTGAAGACGAAGCTTGCTGTTATCCCTGCAAGTGCTGTGTATAATGCTGATCAGTCAGGTTTCGAGAAAGAACTGTGTTCCAAACACAAGTTATCATTTCGTGGTGAGAAACAGGTGGAGTCAGTACTGCAACCAGTGAATGCTATGACTCATTCCTATACAGTAATGCCAGTGATAAGTATGTGTGGAATACTGTTGCCTCATCTTTATATTTGCCTTCAGAAACCTCAAGGCAAATTGGGACCACAAATTAAAAAGGGGCTGTTTACTTGCAAAAATCTTATAATTGATGTATCAAAATCTGGCAAAATGGGAAAGAGTAATTTTCAAATTTCATTCGAACCATCTTCTTACGCATTGCAGAAAATAATTCATTGCTTTTGTTGGACTCTTGGCCTGGACATAATGACCTCTGTCTTTCAGCAGGATGACCAAAAGACTGTTGATATAATGAGAATTCCACCAGGAACAACCACTGTGATTGAACCACTTGATAAAGAATTTTTTCGACAGTGGAAAGCATTTTTCAGAAAATTGTCGGACAGTATACTTTCCGATAGCTCTGTATCATTTCAGGCCTTTCAACAAAACAGTATCCTTAAACTTCAGTCATTTGTACATTACCAGTTTTCATCACCACATTTTACGAAGTTGATAAAGTATGCCTGGTACACAGCACGATATGTAGAACAACGGCCAGGACCATTTCTTACGCCATCCCAATTTTGTCTATAAAAAACTGTTACTCACTGCAAAGTGCCTGAATGCATTAACTTTTCATTCGTTAGGTGTCTTTGGTGTAAAGAAAATGTCTGTTTTCATCACGCCATAGGAACTTTGCATTTTTATGACGATTATAAAGAATGAACAATGGATTGCTTCATTGTGGGTAAAGAAGTATTACAAACGATGTATGTATGTGCATTATGTCCATTATAACAAACTAAATTCTCAAGTAGAGTGATGCATGATCGTTTGTCATTATTACCCAAGGTCAAGCTCACACTGTCTCATCACGGCTGTTGTGAGCGCTAGGAGAGGTTGTACAAACCTCTCGTACAAGCAGTTCCGCATACAGAAAAAAATGAGTAATTTTGGCAATTTTTAAAAAATACTTGCAGTGCATATTAGCAGCTAAAATTTTGACAGTGGATTTTGTTGGGTGTACTCTTGCAGTGAAAAAAAAATCAGGGCAGGTTTCAACATGTCGGATTAGACCATTCCCTTGTCAGATGGGCCCCAGATAACTTTGGCCTCCCCCAAGAAACACCACTGACCATGATATTTATTTTAGAGACTTGGTGATATTGTAAATATTATCACACTATGTACAATAATATTACTATACATGAGTTTGTACTGCGTCACGTCACAGTTTACAGTACTCACACTGATGTTTGTGGCACTTCTCGAAGCAGTCCACCTCACACAGAGCAAAATTACGCTTTTTACAATTAAAGAACGTGCTGCTGCTTTTCTTATTTAGTGAAACACACAATGTCTTTGTTATGAATGTTTCACCTCCAATTGACTCAGTTGGGCCCCAGATAACCTTGGCCTCCCCCCAAGAAACGCCACTGACCATGATATTCATCTTGTGCGATTGAAAAATCATCTTGGGGGAGGCAAAATCAAATGAATTATGTTGATTGACAAAGCGATGCTCTTGCCTCTTAGTAATACTCGCAAAATAATGATGCAAAGTAATTATAATACTAGTCGAAAAGAGTACCAGTCCGACACTGATACCGAAAGTCACAGTGACGAAGATGCCTGTTACTAGGAAAGTAATACTGGCTCAGTGGGTTTATACCTCTTTCAAGACACAAAATAAAAATAATATAAAAAGAAATATATGACAGTCTGACACTGACTTCCTAACTGATAATTTGTCACTGAAAACCAATCTTTGATTGTGTCATACTTCCTTGAAGGCTCTGGAAGCAATCATATGCAAGCACGGATGAATATTTCCTCATCAGTTCTCAGAATAAAGCTGCTCTATATTTGGCTGACCAGGTCATAAACAGTCATATCAAAACGTAAATAGTATCAAAACCAGTACTGTAATAAACGATTTCATTGTTCAGAGCTAAGGACTGAACTGCTGACATGACCTTACGTGGGTTTGTTTTGGTTTCAAACCCAAGGTCAAACTGTCAGCACTCCCAAAGAGAGCACATGTCCTGCCGCATATATATAACATTCGGCCAACCCGGGGTGCTGCTTGCTGCATATATATATAACATTCGGCCATTAAAGGTTAAAGTGTGGTAACACTCTTGCAAGCTGCTTATCTTTAATACGTATTAAAGGTAAGCAGCGGCACGCACAAGGGGAGCCTACACAGAATAATACCTGAACAGTGCTGAAAACAAGAAGTAGCCGCTGCAGCACTATAGACATAGGGCGGGTAACCTTGAGAATTTTAAATTTTAAAATTTGAAAAAAAAAATTAAAGAAATTTTTAAAATTGGAATTGAAGATTTTAAAAGTGCCAGTTTATGAAAATCAAATTGACGTGTGTAGGTTAACAAAGATTTTGTTCATATCTGACAGATATCAGCGGGGAAGATTCTAATATATCGAAACCTGTTAGCAACGGTGAAATGAACAATTGGGAAGACTAGTGTTTTTTAAATTTTAAACTACATCCAGTGTAGCAGCTACTTAAGAGTATACACCTGATGATGGCCGTTTGCGGCCGAAACATGTAGTGTAGAAGAAAGCAAGATGAAAGAACTACAATAAATTGTTGCACTTAGGACGGAGTTGATGTCATACGAGGGGGTACCCAAAAGAAACCGAAATTATTTTTTTTTAAACTTATTTATTCAAATTTTAAGCACAAACCTTCAATCCCCTTCAAAGTACTCTCCACTTACACTAATACACTTGTCTAGTCTTTTATTCCATTTTTCAAAACATTGTCTAAATTCATCTTTTGAGATGCTTGACAGCGCCTCCGTCGTTTTTTCCTTTCATGTCTCTTTTCATTTGAGGAAACAAAAAAAGAGTCGCACGGGGCAAGGTCGGGTGAGTATGGAGGCTGAGGAACAGGGGTCATAATCTTATAGATGGCCTCTGAAATTAGAGATACTTAAAGCCAGGAAACTCTGAACATAGCCTTAGTCATAGCCTTTCATGAAATATTAACAATCATGACAGTTTTTTAATTGAGTACTAGTGAAAATTTTCTTAATTAAAATATTCACCTAATTTTTTAATTTCAAATTCTGTGTTACCTGTTGTTGTATAATGACTTAAAGACTGATGATGATCTTCCAGATGTACAGTATTATGTATGTTTACTTCCAGGCATGGATCTGTTTCTTCACTGCTCTGTGAAATAATTTATACTTTCCCTATTTACTTGTTCTTATAGTGTATTTATATTGTCTTATAGGCCTATGTATTGAAATATATTTTTGTGATCATTTCCAGTTGCATTCACAGTGGAAAGACAAATAATAGGGGAGAAAATTCTTGTGAAGAGAAAACAACAGCTGCAGGGTCTTCTGGCAGTAAATGGTTCGAGAAACGGTAACTTATGACTCACAATAGCAGATATAGTGTTTTCTTGTAATTAGTACTTTAATAATCAACTTACTGGGTAAAGTAAACCAAGCCATAGTACCAAGCAGTGTCACTGTAGATCTGTATATGATTTCAAGCTTTCATGCTGACATCTTAGGCAGTCCATGGAGCCCAGTCCTTGTGAACAGACACTCAGCTACTCAGGAATTTCCCAGAATTTTATGAAACCCAAAGGTTCTTTGCCATGTTCACAAGAGCCTGCCACTGGTCCCTATCCTGAACCGTATGAATCCAGCTCATAGTATTTCTGTAAGATCCAGTTTAATATCTTTGCATCTAAGTCCAGGTCTTCTCTCTTTCCTTCTGGATCTACTCCTCCCCGTCCCCATGCATGCTACATGTCCTGCCAATCTCGTCCTCCTTTACTTGATAATTCTGATTGTATTTGGTGAAGAATACAAGTTATGGAACTTTTAATTATTCAATTAATTAATTAATTAATTTCCCAACCTCTTACTGGGTTATTCCTCTTAAGCCCATATATTCCCCTCAGTACCCAGTTCGCAAATACCCTTAGTCTGTGTTCTTCCCTTAATGTCAGAGACCAAGTTTCACGCCCATACAAAACTACAGACAAACTCATAATTTTGTATGTTCTTGGACAGCAGATCTAGTGGTTTATACTTTTCAACTTCATAAAGTATATGTAATATCTTTATCATCTTGTCTGTTCCTCTGAGTTGCCACACAAGTACTCAACATTTTTGGCTTCTAGAAATATGAATAGGTTGTTTACAAAAGGTAAATTGAGATCTCTTGTAAATGGTGGTAGATATTGAGCTACTTCGTCATCATCCTCCTTCCCATCTTTATCATTTCAGGAAACACTAACTACCAATACTCTGCAGTATCTCTCTCATGTACACTGTAGGCTGTCAGGAATTAATTGAATGTGTTGATTTTGGTTTATCAGGAAACAGAAGATTGTAAGACAGATTGGATCTTGTGACAGTGAAAGTGAACTGGAGAACTCAAAAGACAGTCGAAGATCGAAAGAAATTGCCCGTAAAGAAGATAACAGGACATCTAAAGCGTCAAGACCTAAAGTCATAACTGAGAATGAATATACTGATTCAAGGCCATCAAAATGGGGATTCAATAGTTGTCAGAGCTCTAAGAAGATTTATCCCAAAGCATCACAAAAGGTGTATGTACCTCTGAAGATCTGAGCTTCCTTCATTCATGAGTTATCTAACAACCAAGCCTCTCTAACTTACTTTCCAAAGCTTTTGTCGACTTCCTCTGGTGATCTTCCTTCCTTCTGCATGACATCTTTCCTAACCTGTTATTCCCATCTTGATCTTGATATTCCCCTTGGGCATTTTTCTTTTAGATTCCTGTTCAAAAACCTTTGTTCAGTATATACTCATGAAATCTGCACTGACCGATCGTGTTGATACAGTGTTCTTTGAATTCTGCATGCTGTTCTGTTTGATAAATATAAAATTAGAAAACTGAATTTTGCTTCAAATGCTCATCAGCACAATTTCAAAAGTAAATAACATTTGTTAAAAGCCAATGTACTATGCTACAAGGTGGAAGGTCGCGGGTTCAAGTCCCGATGAAGTCATTGGATTTTTTTCAATTGACCTAATCCTTCCAGCTGCACTAGGCCCTGGGGTTTACTCAGCCTCTAACAGAAATGAATACCAGGAATTAATTAAATAATTTTCCTGGGGAGTGAAGCGTGGC